CTATCCTGTTACCGACCAGGTGTGCCCATGGTCTTTGTAAGGTTTTGCCGCATATTTCTTCCATAAGTTCATAACATATTCTCCCGACATATGGACTATATGTGCGTTAAGAAATGCAAAATCAATACATTTTGTTTTCCCGTTGCTTTGTTTTTCAGGGTGGCCGCCGCCGCCTACTGTTGTCTGCAGGTACTGCAGGTGCTATTGGGACGTGTGCTGGCAGCGCTGTCGGGTGTGGAGTTTGTGTCGGAATCCTGTCATTCTTCACATTGGGTAAGATGGACTCCTAGATGTCAATTACATTCAACTAAAACTGACGTTGTCCCTGTTTGTGTCAAATGTGACAATTTGATATTGAAAATGATAGGCTACTAACTTTTTAGATTATGACTACCTTACATAGACTATGAACCACGCACAGCTACCTGTAGCTTTGATATGCATTTTGTTGTACACAGGTATCGGTGCAGCTGCATGTGTTGCACCCTGCGCGCTCGGAATCGGAGGCACCTGCGGTACTGCTGCTGCCACGGGGATCAGTGAGGCTAGCAGTGGCAAGATCATTTGCACTGAACTTTTTGCCCAAGGTTAGTATTTGAAAAACGTTTTGCTTACTTCTAAATGAGTAGATTGTTTTGTACCCAGACAAGGCTTTAGATCTTACTGAATTTACTTTTAATGACAGCAGTTATTTGCTATCCTTCTTTTATCAATCTCAAAGCATAATGATTTAGACAAAGCATAATGCTTTTTGGTTGCAGATAGTGAAATGTGCCTTTGCTGCAGCTCACTTTTATAAATCAGCACACAGGGTCATCCCAGCTCTTCCTGATATTAAGAGTGATGGGTTTTGGAGGCTTGACAAGCTGACCCCCTCCACGGGGCTATTGGGCAAAATGACAAATACTTGATGGGGTATATCACCTTCGATGAGTCTAGCCATAAAATTGTTTCTCAGTTCAGATAAGATGATGCATGTCACCACTTTTGACCCTACAGGTCACCTGGATGCCCAGACCTACCTGGCTGACGCTGCCTTTGGTCGCCAGCTGGCTGCAGAGTTCCCACACGTGATGGAGGGGTACCACACCCTGGCCAACCCCATCGTGTGGCTGATGCAGCGGTCCGAGACGGCTACATCCATTGTCAAGGTATAACACTTCCACTTTTCTTCTCACCTTCCTTTCTTCTATTTGAGCATTGTCTTTGTTAATTTACATGTGACCTGCTTGATCCAAAAGCAGTGGCTGACTTCTCAGTTAAGAAAAAACGGCTTCTTCCATTGTTGTTTATCATGTACTCTTGTTGAGAAACACAAATGAAGTTGAAACCAGTGTGAAGAGAATGACAAATCTTAGCCAACATTTTTCCAATCATATTCATAAGGCCTTACCTTTTACAATTTTATACCTTATGTATGATTTTACTATGAAGCTAGATTTGAGATCTTGTTCTTACTGAGATACTCAAATTTTCCCTCTGTACATTTCCAGACCTTTGCCCTACCCTGGGCCCGACACATGAGCTACCTACAGGACATGGCAGATGAAGGGGACCAGTTTGGGGCTGTTGTCATGGAGATAGGGATGGTCCTGAGCGGGGCGGTGGGGAGGGTCATGTGGGCAGCCAGGGCTGTCATGACACTGGGGAATGTCATCCTGATCCCTGTCCTTATTGCCATGGTTACCGTTGTGGCATGCCTTGCTATGCGTAAGAACATGCCAAAGGAGTAGTAGTAGATGATTTGAGTCTATCTGAGAGCCCTGACATTGTAAAATATAAGTAGCCAACATACCAATGTTACTGAAACAGTTACATGTACAGCTAGGCTCGTTTTGTGTGCTGAAAGATTAAACTGTCAATGTCATGACTGTGAGGTGTGTATAGGTATACTAGTAATATAAAACTTTGCTTGCCAAGAAAGTTTATAGCAAGATATACATGTACATACATATTGTGGTTTTTGCTTTATGCTTTTAAGTGTTTTCATTTTACTAAGTAATGCATGGAACATTTTATGATAGATGTAGATGTATCTGGTATACATGTAGTATGGGTAGGTTCTTAACAATTTCTAAAGATGTGTTTTTTAAAACAGTTATAACATGTCAAGTTTGTAAGGAGTTTTCTGGATGAGTAGAATAGGACAAATCATTGCCACAGGTTTCATGATTTTATACGATTCTATCAAAGATCTTATATCAGTGCTTATATATTTGTATGTAGAGGAGTAGCCAAGTCAAAATTAATTCCAGTGTGGTTGACAGACATATCATCAAGACTATGCAGCATTACTGATAGTAAAATAGTGGAGGTATAAGGTTTCATGAATAATGATGTGAACTGTTCATTCGAACAATTACTAATCCGAACAAAGGCCTGAACAAATGTGTATTTATCACATCAATCAGTTCCACAAAGATTTCTATGATCTGCTGAACACAAATGATTACATAGGGGTTTGATTATTATTATGCTTTACTATTGGTGTCGAGAATAAAAGTGTGCAGTGGTTTAACTTTCTGGGTAAAATGTGTTTTTTCTTTGAGAGAGAGAGAGAGAGAGAGAGAGAATGACCCCTGTATGAGGCCAGGCCTTCCCAGGCAAAACACGTCATTTCACTGATGGTCACTCCAGTGGCAGAAATACTGTGTCAAGGAAAAATCATAAGCAAATTCTTCAATAGAAAACAGGAAACTAACATTTCTATATCATTTATTGTTGTAGATAAGTATGAAACAGATGTTATTGCACTTTTCTTTTTTGTTTCAGTAGCTAAAGTGAAGAGTAATCTCTTTGTCCCTCTCCAGTCATACTTATAAAATGCAGTGGCTATTAAGGTAGTGATAGCCTTGCAATGGTCTCATTTAGTGGAATACTTAGACTTTACAGGTATTTGCAAGTGCAAGTACATATGGGACAGTACATGAATAGTAATAGGTGATGATTCTGAGATAAATAAAAGACAAAATCCACTTGACCTTTCTACCGTGTTCAAAAATACTTGCTCCTTTTTTGATAACAAAAAAGTGGAGCAATCTTAATAACAACAGCGACATGGGGCAAAAGTACTGTATCAGCCTGAAACTCCAGGTTGAGTAGACTGGCCTGTAATCAGTCAACAGTCTGTTGTTGGAATGGCTCACATGCAGAGTTGGGATGTCAGACTCGACTGCTTTTTCCACCATCCACCAACCCGAGGTAAAACACTTTTTGTCCTCATAGATGCTGCCTAATCATCATCTATCCTCAATGCTAACAACTGTTGATGGGGGAACTGTTGAGGACTTTTCCAAGGATGCTGACCTCTCCTGACCTTGCTCCCATTTCCTTGCTGAGAACAAAAAGGGAGATATTCAGCACGTGTACTTAATTATTACTTTCTTGTAGACTATACTGTATACAGACAGAGATTTCCATGACATTCAAATTCAAAGACCTCCAGTAAGTGTTTTGGGTTTTCCTGAATTAATTGGAACTGTGGAGGGGATTATATGATGTAATCTAATTGAGTATTACACCATTTCCTTAATCCTTGTCACCTTCTGTCTTGAACGAGAACTATATAAATCAACTGTCAAACCACCTGCCACTCTGCATGTAACAGTTGCTACTTGGGCAAACAGACACACAAACCCGTAACTCAGCCACACACAACTTCCATACCTGGAAGTAATGACTTTCCAAACATCACTCTTTTCCCTGTTAACTGTTACGTATGATGAGTACTAAAGTTACAGAAGGGGCCGGCTGCTGATCCCGTTCTAGAGTTTTTAAAATAAAATCAGTTGAATCCAGGTTATCAGTCTGAATTCTTCTTTATCGTCTAACGTCTAACTACTCACCGATGTACCAGTGTTCCAGCTGTTGCCTCAGTCGTACATTTTTGAAGTCGTCATCAGCTCTTTTGCGCCTGTCTACAGCAGAGACAGAGTCTTGTCCTGAGCTCGGAAACACTCGGATCATTGGCCTTTTAAAGTGCCTGCGGATCAGAACGCCAAACAACCTTGGTGAGTGACATGGGAATATAAAGTAGCACAGACGGACAGATCTGCTAGTGCTAGAGTAGATAAAAAACAGACAGACATTCATTTCCAGGTGAAAAATACTAAGAACAGGCGTAGGAATTTAATAGTAATTGCACGGGCACACAACTAGAAAGTTAAAAAGATTAAGAAGTGAGAAGCATTAGTTTCCATATCATACACTGAGCTCCATGCATTAGGTAGAATCTTTTGTTGTTGTCATCATCATATGTGTTGGGGAGGGGGGCGTTGACTTCCCAAATCCGTGCTGCGTTTGAAACAAAACAACGCACAGACGGTACCAAACAGAACCAGTTTACCCACTTTTTGACGTACAAGAACAGCCCGATACTGATGAGGATAACGGCGAGGTAGACGTTGGTAGCCTCGATCCAGGCGTCGTGGATGTGGTGAAAGTCTGCCCGCCGAGCTTCCGACATTTTCTTTGTTGTCATTTAGCACAGCATCAAAACGTGAGAAATGGCTTTGGTTTTTAAAAAAAATCATCAGAAAATGCGGACATTTGACATACAATTAATCCATATCTCAGTATCCAACTGTTACGTTCAATAATTCTGAAATCCTAATTTTACTGTCAATATCTCTTTATCCCTAAAGACGGTCATGAACTATTTGACATTACGATGCGCTCACTGGGTCAAGTCAGGTCAAATCTTTTTCCTGGCAAACAAAGGGGAGGCGCAAAGGTACATGTACTGGAAGTGTCTTGATTGTCCCCAGTTACAGATGGATTGCATAGAATTGGAGACGAAATAAGTACCGTTACATCTTCAGAGAACTAATGTCTGACATAATAAGCTGAACCTCTCACGTGCACTAGGCCCCAGGCTCGGATCCTAGGAGCTCCCACAAGGCAAGGTTCAAGCGTGGAGTTATAACACACAGTGAGTTTCCAAAGTAGATTATGCAAAGGTGCACGATGTCATGATGATATTGTCGTTCTTACTTCCGGCACAGAAATATTGTTTTGGGCGGCTCAGCTTCAATTTATTTGGGTGGGGGTAGTGTATCTTGTCCCAGGCAGCATTTTTAGTGAGTGGGCAGAGATTTTCTGTCGGCTGATTGTCAGGGTTGTGACTTGGTATGTCCCGGGTAGTATGATTTGATTTGGGGCCATGAGTAATGTGTACTGTAACATGCATATGGGTTACATTTGAATGCAGTTAATGTTACTTGTTAGAGATCAAGATCAAGAAGAGAAGATGTGTAACGTTACATTTTGTAATATGTACTGGGTCAAATTACATCATACAATCCTACATTACATACAATGATGTGACATGTAATTCTTTCAGGTAGTTTTCCAACGTCATACAAAAGCTACGTGCCACTTATTCTTTCAGATACCTGCTGGGGGCAAAAGGTTGTCAGGAAAAAACTAGCATCATAATACATGTAGCTACAAGATCTTCTCCAGACCAAGAATTCCAATACTACTTCATCCATGGAAGTTGACAAGTCAGACAATAGGGCAGACCAAGCTGACAAACATGGTGAACATGGTCTTTCTGAGAGGGACAAAGATGGCAATATACACCTGTCATCTGAATCAGACCCTGATGATTATCTCATGCTGCTGGAATGTGAAGACCATGGACCTCTTCTTATGCCAGCAAGACCACGCTTTCAACAACCATCTGGCAATGACAAGACGGCAGAAACAAGAACTACCAAGGTGTCAGAAAACCATACAGAGACACCTGGGGTGTCAGTAAGGAAGGATTCTTTGGAGGATAAGAGACAACTGGGATCTGTGGAGGAGACTGGTAAAGAAGATGTTAGTGAAGAAAAAAAGAGAAAGGGAGAAGAGGCTGTTGCAAGAACCTCTTTAAGAAAGAAGGTTACTCAAAGAAAAGCAGAGACACTACAAGATACACTCACATCTTCTAGACAAACTTCTCACTCCAAAACTGTTGATACAGGCAGTGTTCCTAGGAGGGGGATGCCAAGAAGAAGCAAAAGAAAAACAGACACTCCACTCACTCCATTAAGGAGACAAACTCGGTCCAGATCAAAGACAACAAAGAAGAATGTGGCCAAGAGCTCACCAAGTAACAGGGTTGGGAAAAAGACAACCCAACAGACTAGAAAGACTCGTCAGCCTTCTATGACAAGTAAAGGGCAGGATATTAGAACAAAAAACTCAAGTAAAAAGAGGCAAAAGGGTACAGAGATTGCTGTTGATCACAGTGAGTTGGGTAAACTTGTTGGCAAGAAGCAAGAAACGAAGTCTGGTAGAAAGAGGCGTGAAGTTACAAGAAAACCAGCCAGGCAGAAGACAGTGCAAGTGAGACGAAAAGATGTTAAGAAAGCTTTGCTGTCAGAAACGAGCAGCAGTGCTGGGCATAGTCATCAAGAAGCCTTAAACACCAAGAAAGGGGCAGAAAGAGAGTCAGAAGAGTGTTACAGTGAAAAGAGTGTGGGTTTAAGGAGGAGTGCTAGAAAGAAGAAGGCACCTGTGTATGTTGAAGAAAGCTCACCTGACTCAGATGGTGATGACATTAATGACCTTGAGCAGAAACGTGGCAGACCCAGGAAGAGAAGGAGGGAGGTGAGCGAGTCTGAACAGTCCTATTCTAGCAGCGGTTCTGATGAGGGTGGCTCAGACAGTGAGTGGGACAACACTACCGTGAAGACACCAGCTCAACCTGGTTGTACCAAACATAGTATGAAGAAAAGGATGAGGAGGAGGAATTCAAAGGAAAGCCCAGCCCTCAACAAATGTGATCACTGCAATTTTGTCTCTACTAGCAAAATTAGGCTAAATGCCCACCTCAGTCGAGACCATGGGCTAGCCGTCAAAAACTGGACGCCACGAAAGCCACGCGGGAACAGGAAGCAGTACAAGTGTCCACAATGTCACTACACAAGCGAAAAAACGCATGTCATATACAACCACACGATCACCGTCCACAAGGGTGCTGCAGTGTGTGTGAGCTGCAGTTTCACTGGAAACAGCCTGGGGGAGATGTTGAAGCACGAGGATGAGGTACACCCACGTTGTAAGATGCCCAGATGCAGGTTCAAGACAGATGATCCTGAAAAACTGGCAGAACACATGAATATGCACAGGCTTAGGTGCCCAGACTGTGATAAGATTTTCCAAACCAGAAGACAGTATATTCGCCATGGAGAAAAAGCACATGGAAAAAAGAAAAGGACGCTGACTAAACAAACTGAAATTGGCACAAAGGATTTTCAATGTGCTAAGTGTGACTACAAAGCTGCTAGAGCATCACATCTAAAGAGACATGTACTCTGTAAACATACCAAGAGGGAAGACCTGAAGTATGCCTGTACCCTCTGTGAATACCGCAGCCCCTTTCCAAGTTGGATCAAGACACACATGCAGCAGAAACACTGTGAAGGTTGGATTGTTGATATTTAGTTTCACATTAGTTAGGGAAAGTGTGTTTGATTGTCGGGTGATGTGTTACCTTTGGTCTCATCATACATAGAAGGATTGTGCATGTGTGTACAGTATTTGTTTGATATTGTGAGTGCAATTCTTTTGTTGCTGTTTTTAACCATTTCTATTGTACATTTTGCCTTTTCTTGTCATTTTTGCCTATGACACAATGTTTCCACAGTTGGATGTAAGAGTGAAATGATGTTTTCTATGTCCCCAGATCCAGACGTGAAAAAGAAGTACAAAAGTACAATTTACAAGTGTGAGGAGTGTGAATATGAAACAAACACCAAAGTTCTGTTTACGATTACATCGAGTGTCAAGACACGGTGAGTCAATTCAGGCCTTGTTATAAATGAAAATTTTTGGCAAAATGTAAAATGTTTTTGATTGCTCTTTTCTGCATGCAAACGTTTGAGTTCATGTTTTGTAGTAGATTTGGATAATGATTTATGGATCTATGGAGATTCTGTGTAAAGGTTGAAATTTTGCTTTCAAACATGCAGCCTACAACATACATGTATAAGAAAATAGAAAACATTGCCTGATGTTATCTGTTCATGCTCAATCTTTTCCCTTAGCCTCCTCAGTCAGCCCTATGACTAGTGCTTTTTGTGTAAAAATTGTGACATGTCATACTGCTAAGGAGGCCACATATCCCTTTTCTTGTGGTTGAATTCATCATATGATATCACTTGAATATTAGTCCAATTTTACAGATGCTTTTCATTCTTTGACAGGACTGGGAGTGGGGCCAGTAAAGTGTAAACACTGTGACTACACAACCATCAGCAAGAACAGTCTTTCCAGGCACATGAAAAGTGATCATGGTATTGAGACCAAGCAATGTTGGTACTGTCACCATTACTGGGGAACCAAGGAAGCCATGGAGACCCATCATCAGACCTGCAAGTACAAAGGAGAGTTCCCGTGTGAGGAGTGCAGTTTCACCTCAACCTCAAAATGTAAGCTGATGACCCATATGAGAAAAATGCACGGGAAAGGGAGGTCCCACGAGCTGTGCCACCATTGTGGTAAGATCTGCTACGGACCTAAGGCATTGGAGCAGCACATGTTTACCCACCTGCCGCATAAACCCTTCAGGTGTCCGTACGAGTCCTGCAAGTATGAAACCCTCTACAAGGGGAACCTGCCTGCACACCTGCTTATACACACAGGCGAGAAACCCTACAGGTGTGACGTGTGTTCATCTTCCTTTGCACAGAAGAGCAACTTGAAGACCCACATGAAGAAACACTACAGAGATGGGACTTTCAAGCCAAGAACAAAGGGGAGAGCCATTGGCACAGGGGGTAAGAGGAAGAGAAGAAAGAAGAAGGAAGAAATGACATTAGAGAAGGATTCAGAAGATGAAGTGAAGACTGCCACAGGCCATCTGATTGGATCAGAAGAAAGCCATCTGATTGGATCACAAGAAAGTCATCAGATTGGATCAGATGATTGATCAGGTGACAGACACACCCTCATCAGAGAGAATGGGAGGGAAGGAAATGATGGGGAGGGACTCGGGTGGTACCAAAAATACTGACATTGGGACGGGATAAAGTTGAAATGTCTGAAGATGAGCATGAAAAAATGATGGACATATCTGCAATAGTTCTGGACAGAGAGTAAGCAGAGATGGATACAGGTGCATGTGCACTCGGTTTACATGACTATGGTAAGGAAAAAGAGTAGAAAGACTCCAAACGAAGTGGAGGAGATAGCAGAAGACAACTGAGGCTGGGATGAAAGACAGACACATTAGGACAGACACTTCCAGGGTCTTGTGGTCCTTAACACAAATCATGATAGTTAGTGTCAAGACAGACCTGGAAAGTCAGACAAATAGTTATTGAAAGCATGTAGTATCTGAGAAAATTGGAGCCCCTGGTGTTTTGTCTGACACTTACAGTCTGCAGGCCCAAGTAGCAATGAACACACTTCAGTATTTTGAGCATCATTGACTAGTAAGGCAGCCATTGTTTAGCCTTAGACAAAATATTATTCTTATTATGGGTTCACCACACCACGAAGTGGTGGTGAACCCATATTGCTTTTTCTGATGTTTCTCCTTCTTCTTCTCCTGCCATTTTTTAAATGGATTCAGCTTCTTCATTTTAGGCCCTAAGGTCCTGAAATTTGGTATGGAGGTACAGTGGGCAAATACCCCTAGGCGTTTTTTAGATTTTTGTGAAACAGGCTTTTAGAATGGTTTTATTTGAGTTTTTTGGCTGTGTTATAGCAAATGTATTACTGTGTTAGTGTGCCGTGTTTACCACGTCTGGGCATGAGTCATCACAATGGAATGCAGGGCATCAACCAATAGGCATGCAGCTTTCCTCTATACTTCTTGCTGATTGGCTGTTGGGATTTAACTTGATTAACACCTGCACAGAGCATTTCCACCTGCACAGAGCATTTCTTGCTGATTGGCTGTTGGGATTTAACTTGATTAACACCTGCACAGAGCATTTCCATACTGACAGTATGTCTTTATTCAAGTGTTTTGGTAGGTATTTCAAGCTTTTCTGCTCCAGCATTGGAATGCGGGGCATGAACGTTTTTTTTTCTTTTTTTGAAAATCAACAGTTTGCATTATGCAATTAAAAATCCTAACCAATAAAGTAGGGAATAGCTATCCAACTGTTGTTTTAGTTGTATGTTACTTCATATTATAGTTATATCAATGTAAATCATTGTTTTCCCTTGTGTTTCTCATTCTTTCCCTGCCATGTCGTAAAATGTGGTGAACCCATCGCTGTATTTGCTCCAAAGCAAATATTGGCCTTTCTAGTTTTAAGTAATCTTTTCATGTCTAGCAGCATGAATTGTTTTGCACATACATTGTATAACAGTAGTTGTAAAATGTCATTTTACCACTACTTCTAATGTTCAGAACTAGTTACATAGCATATTACTCAAAGTTTTACATGTTTACTTGAATACTGCAAAAATTTTGCAGTGTAACATATATCTAAAGTTAGATTTCTGTAGCCAGTAACAGTAGTACAATTTTAATTTTAAACTAGTACATGTAAAAGAAGTTACATCATTACTGTTACTGTTAACATCCAATACCAGTACTGTTACAGTATCTGATTTCAGTCTGCAGGAGGTGTGAACTTAAGTAGTATAATCATTCTTTATTCCCAAATAAAAGAAAGACATTGAGCCCAGGTCACGCCGGCCATTATTAACCAAACATGCAGGGAAACATTGTGATACATCAAGACACATAATATTGCACAGTTTTCCTCAATACACATTTCCTTAAATACACTTTATTTATCTGCATAAAGCACACTTTATAGGGACCAATTTAGTTTGCCCAGAAAAAAACTTAATAGGTTGTCTTACCTTGTGTATAACAAGATGCTAGTTTACTAGGCCAAAAGAGGCCAAAGTTTACTTATAATCATGAATGTAGTTTAATTTGTTCATCTTGGCTGATAATGTTATCTACCTATTCACTTTGTTCTTCCTAAATTTAAACATGTACAAGTACAGATATTGTTTAGGATGTGCCCATCTCTAAAGACTAGATCTTTGTTATCTCCATGTACAGGGTTTCGGTGTGTTTGTATGTTTGCTTGTGTGTCAATAGTTATTTAAATGAGTGGGGGTTGTGCCACAGACTGACTGGAAGGTTGGACTGGAGGTCAAAATGGTCCCTCCAGGCTGGGAGAAGTGACAGGAATATGCACAGATCAGAAAGAAATTCACAATAATGAATAGAACAAGAAATTCGCAACAACTCCAACTTTACGGAGGTATGAAATCTTCGATTTCTTGTTTGACTTAAAGGCATATGATATTGCAATGGCACTTCCTTTGGCCATGACGCGAGAACACCACCTTGCGAGAGAGAAACAAACCACATCAGTCACGGTTAAATTTGGGTTGATGCGGGAACTAACTTCATTGGACACCGTAAATCGTGTGGAACATCAGGTTTCCTGTTTTTCATTAACATGAAAGTTTTTCTTTACGTTAACTGCATTTGTTAGAATATTTCTAGCTAAACAACAAGCATTACCCTACTGTTAAAATTGATAATCCTTGAAAAGCACACTGGCAGATGAGAGACAACCCTTACGGCCGTTCTTGTTGGCTCGTCAGGCGTTGCCTTGACAACCAATTTACAGCAGGAAAGTACCGGTCGTCTGTGGAAAATTTGTGAATGCAAAGATCAGCGGGTCGCAGTTGGAACCTTTGGACTGAAATAATAGGCGTTCGTGCGTCTATCATGACAAGAGTGGCCTGGGGGTTTCGAAGTTCGTAGCAGATGTGTTGTTTTTCCTTCCTTTGTACATCCTACTGATGGTTTTGCTTTTACACTGGTTGACAGATTACACATTTTACAACCATAATGTCCTTGCGAGTTGGAAAAGTCTATTTGCTCGGAAAACACAGTTTTGATTGTAGAAAACTATGTATGTTAAATCGTCACACAGCAATCTCGAATATCTAATATTTAAACATGTACTGTTTATCAAGCAAATAAGGGAACCACAATGTACGGACAAGTCTGCATCGATTTATTAGTGTTGTTAAGGCTCTGATAGGTCGTCGTTATCTCATGCAGTTACCATTCCCACCGGGTTATACCCAGAGTTCTGTACGTACTATTTCATGATGTTTCTCTGATAATGCGACTTCGCTACCCCCCTGGGGACTTCTCCGTGATCGGTGCAAGGTAACCACAAAAGCTGCTGTTCTGACACCGTACTGTTTGTTCCGCTTTGTACTGTTGTCAACCTTTGGCTCTGCGGAGAAGGCAGAACTGTTGCCTGGGAAGGGACGACATTTCCGCTGTTCAAGGGTTGAACCGCCATCTTTAAGGGGCCCTAATTGTTTTTAAGGTGACTGTATTGTTAGTTACACCAATATCAGTACTGGAGAACATCCAGGGAATCCGGCACACGGACATGGGACATCGTGAACAGCTGATTCTACAGCGTGTTCTAAGTGTCCTTTATCTATATCGACTGTGTGTCACGTGCCGAAGAAGAAATAGCAGTGCTCACTGAAGGTACTGACGAGGTAGGAGTATTGTCATATGTACGTACGTATACTCTCCATTCAGGAGCATGTGGTACATATATTCGGTTCAATTCAAAAGAAGACTCGCTAATAGCTAAAGTGGACTAGATCTTAGCCAAGTGTAACCAAATTCGACAATGTGTGTGTATCCGATCGATGGAACAAGTGAAATGGGTGCAGTGTGTGCAAATTCTTCCCATTGTACAGTACAGCTACATGTACAGTTTCTACTTTATATACAGTCCATGGTGAGAATCGTGCGGTTTGGGGCGTGGACTACATTGTGTAATGAGAAAGCCACTGTGGTCAGCCTATCGGTGTTGTGACACTCTTTAAGCTGTGCATGCGAATGGGATCATAGTGGGACGGGTGATAAAACAAACCCATAAAGGACACATTTCTTGGCTATCTGTCGTAAGACTAAACGACTTTTAAAAGGAAATGTTAGTTGGTGTTGGCATTTAAATCGAAGGCGATAAAACCGAAGAAAACGTGGTTGTGTCGGGTAGTCTCCAAGCAGCTGGTTGTGAACATGTACTAGCAGTTCCACATTTTGTGTGTATTGGTTTCTTTAGACAACTACTTGCGGCATGTACGCGAAAGTAAGACAAAGTTCTAGCAATTTCCCCCCTATTTTGCTTTTCAGTCAATAGTGCTGTCCGGCGGGATGCTGTACCTGGCCCTAACCCAGCGGCCCTGCACACAAATCACCCCCGCTCGCTGCTGTGAACTCGCCATCCTCCCCCAACACCGAGACGAACAGCCCTGCATCTACTACTTCTCCTTCGCCTGCCACACGCTGACAGAGAAACGTTTCATCGACACCGTCATCTTCAGGTGCGCACTGCAGCTCATGCTGCCTGTCAATCAACACGGACTGACGCACGGCGGGAACGTGACGCGGGCGAAAGGGTCTCCGTTATGCTGGACGAAGAACAGACGGACTGAGTACAGCACGTCATTGGTCATCCTCCCCCAGCACGTGACTATGACGTACAGAACCGAGGTGAAGACGTCTCTAACAGACTGTGAGGCCTGGTACAAGACATCCGTGGAACTTATTCCACACAAATACACAAACATGAAGGTCCTTTATAGGTACTCTCGGTAGGGGAGGAAGTCATTTTACTTAAATGGTTGTTTTACATCATGGTCGTTTGGACGGTGGCAATTTTACCAATTTATGTATACATGTATATATCTTCCCTAAATGGAAAGGAAGGATTTCTGTCAGAGTGAGCTTCATTGAGTTAGTTTTGAAACAAGTCTTCCTAAGGTCAATGATACCACTAACTAGTACATGTATGTAACCGTCCAACCAATGCAGGTACAGTAAAGGAAAGAGGGACAAACAAGTTGGGTAAATATAAAACTTACAATGACTTTAATCGTATAATTTGGAGCAGTTACAGCTTTCTTCCAATGTTAACTTACTTGATTGATTCAGAAGTTAACTTGTACACATTATACAAGTAGGGGAACAAATAAAACTGAATCATTTTATGCAAGTCCCTTTGTTTTATATGTAAACATGTCCACCTTCTCTGCTGATTATACAACAAAACTTTCACTAAGGTATTCCACATTGTGTATTTTCTCGATGCTATCTGCCCTGTGGAAAACATTATTACATGACAGTTATCCATGTCAAGTCATAAAAGGGTATTGTACCAGGTCGAAGAAAAGGCAAGGACAGAAAGGTGGACTTCTCAAATTACTTGGGAACAGAGACAATTCTCAATAATTGTGGTCAATGTAGATCTACATGCCAATAAGATGACTTAATATTGTAATAATAAAATGACGTTATGCCATTCATGGGCAAGTAAAAAGTAGATGTACTTGAAAATACTGACTGCCATGCTACAGCATCACATAGTAGTGGAAATAAAAACTAGCCATAAACGTATGGCTATGAAGTGCCAAGGCTTGACATGTGTCAAACAGGTTCCACGATAATGCACACGATAATGCATCCTCACCCCCACCTATTTTTAGGATGCTATATGTCTGATACAAAAAAATAGCTTCTTCTGTAATAGGACAAAGACTTTTTTGCAATGCAATGACTAATATTGTCATTTTGCAATAGTTTGACTTTGGGTCGCAACAACATACTACCAGACAATTTTTGTCATATATCTTTCCTGGGACAAACAAACCAATCAATATGAGAAAGAATGTCATCAGGTGATGTTTGCGTGGGAGGGTGTGTCTACAGCTGATTACTGTCTTATTTCTTGTCTTTTTTCTTCTTCTTTTTCTCCTTTTTCGGTGTTGCTTCCCCCTCATCATCTGCAAGAACCATGCTTTCCTCTAGAGCCTGAGCCTGCTTCTTTTTCTTCTTTGGTGCCTGGGCTGGTTCTTCCTCCTGCTCAGGCTCAGCTGTCTCCTACAAACAACCAACAACAAAAGACATTATGCAAGAGGATTGACAAAGTGTGTAAGAAAATGTTAGTTACATTCTTGTTCTGGTGAAAGTGTCACTTGTTCCTCTTCATTCTTACACAACCACCTGAAACATTTTGTGTAATTTTTCTATAACTTCCAAGTGCAGTCTTCCTTCCTTTCTATTCTTCTTCTAATTCACAAGAGGACCTGCTGGTCAGGGTTGGATTGACTCGTCAGTTTCACATCTGACGGCACTTCCTTTTTCATCATTCAGGCAGGTTCAAAAACAAGTTCCTTGATCAAATTTAAAAAAAGGTAGTTCTGCTGAAAAAAACTAAAAATGAACATTGTGGCCTCAAGTTACATGTATATGAGACAGGATTTTCTGTCCCTGAAGTAGACTTTCTCAAAAAAGTCAAAACCGGTAAATAATGGATTGTAACTCCTACCACCATCCTTGAATAAAAATAACATAACGAATTGAAGAGTTTCACTTCAAGGGTTTACTCATACCTTCTTTTTCTTCTTCTTCTTTTTCTTGCCCTCAGAGTCTCCATCAGCGACTGCACTCTCATTCTGTGAGACTTCGGTTTCTGTCACAGTCGCTTCGGTCTCGCTCTGCTTCTTCTTTTTCTTCTTCTTCTTCCCCTCCCCCTCCCCATCTGTGGCAGTGCTCTGGTTCAGGGAGATATCAGCTGCTGACTGTTCCCCCTCACTCTGCCCCTTCTTCTTTTTCTTCTTCACCGGCGTCTCTTCTTCCTCGGCCCCATCTGTTGTGGCATTGTGGTCCCCATTTTCTGTCAGTTTTCTCTTCTTCTTCTTTTTCTTGTCCTCCTTTTTCTTCTTGGCAATCATTTCATTCATCTGGCATGGAAATATTCAAGAGGTTACAAATGTAAATAGGTCTCCAGTCATTTCACTGAACAGTGCTTAAATACTGTGATGATGTACAGTCTTACAACTGAAAAAAAATTGGAGCATTTATAAAGGTTGTGTGTCTTTTTGTCATTCTATGTGCCAGTGGCAGATGAGACAGAGTTAAGGTAAATAGATTCTCCCCACGTCGATGAAGGTTAGACATCCAGGTAATACGATATGCCAAAAAACAGTTACTCAAGCAACTGGATATGATTTTGAAAACGTCAGACGTTTCAGCTAGTATCCACTAGCTTTCGTCAGTGACTGATTCTCCCCACCTCTGACAATGCCTCCTTCATCACGTCAATGTTCTTGCGGGGCGCTGTCCCCGTCTCGTAGAACGATAACCTCTCCTCCACCTGATCACGTAACTTGTTGCCGATCACGTCGGTAGGGACATCTGGAGAACAATTCAGATCATTCATTAGTCTGGGCACCACAAACATACAAGCTTATGGATGTACACGGTACCAATTGGTAACAGACTTTCTTCAGCCTTGCTGGAGGCGTTAGCTAGTTTACACTTGTTTGTCAAATCTGTCTCTTGACGAACAATGAAAGGTATAACAGAAAATATTTGAGAAGCTGTCCGTTCAGGGTTGGATTGGGTCGTCAGCTGAACATGTCATCTGACGGCACTTCCTTTCTCATCATGTGGACAGGAAGCCAGCTAATCTGAACTTTCTGGGTTCATACAGACATTCTATGGACAGTTTGAAGTCTTTATATATTAGTATGATCACCAGCATGGAGTTGATCTGAATATCATTTTACATGGTTACTTGTGTCTTTAAAAAGCACTGCTTAAAGGAGTGCTTTCAGACTTACCTGCAAAGCAGTCCACCCTGGAAGCGATGGAGCACTTGTTAGCGAGGTAACGGGAGATGCGCCCTTTGTTCTTGGCGCCTGCTCGGCCGATGAACGTGGAATGGAAGATGAGGCCGTACTTGGGGGTGTTGCCACGAGTCTTCAAGGCTCTGCAATAAAGAGGCATCATCATTGTAAATGTCAAAACTCAAATCAGATTATCCCCGACTCCCCGATATAAATGATGGAAAACTTGAAACCCTGAAAATGTCAAGGAAAGTACTAGTATTCTTATGGATTTAAGGGGAGCAGCATGATAATACACAGATCCTATAGCCTTGCCCACCTCCATCAAAAGAGTACAAACACAATATAAAAACACAAAGTTGCAAGTATTTAATGAGAATGATGCCACACTCTCATTGGTTGAACAGCTGACTGCCATGCTCTCATTAGCTGAACTGCTAATTAATTTATTCCTCACCTGAACAGAGCCTTCTCGGCCCCGAGGATCTGTACTGTGGAGGCCGGGTACTTGGCCAGGTTGGTCAGACTTCCGGCGTGTGAGATCAGCCGTGCTCCCACCTGCTCCCCGATCAGAGCTGACAGGTTGGGCGCCACGTTGTGCATCTTACCCTGCAGGTAGGCGTGCAGCGACTTCCGATACTCCGCCAGGGACACCACACGCGATGCAAAGGTCTCGATGTTGATCAGATCAATGGGGGAAATATCCATTCCTGAAATAAAGACAGACATTGCTGGTCTTGCGTTGAAGTGCTTTGACAAACACCTGCCCGGATCAACCTTACCCAGGCCCTCCAAAAGGACAAAAAATTAAAAATGTATCTCTTTTATGGTGTGTCAGTATATTTAATGTTAATTTGATGATGCTTTGTATGTATCATTTTGAGTTGCATCATATTACTCCTGTTCTGATAACTCAGTTACTGTATTGTAACAAAGCTGAAATAAACAAATACATTTGTCAATGTAACAACATCTATGTAAGTACTAGCTCTGCAGTAGTGCAGTTCTAACCCCTGCCCCTGACTCACCCATGGAAGACTTGGCACTCTGTATGATGGCCTCAGCCTTGGCACTGTCCATGGTGATCTCCTCCAGCTCCTCCAGACGGTCCTCCTTCAGCAGCTTCCTGTCCCCGATGATCCTCGCCAGACGCGCGTACATGTAGTTGTCGTTCACGATCTTCACCAGCTCCGGGAAGTGGTAGGAGTACCACTCTCTGAAAGGACCACGGGTGGGAATTACATAAAGGTCCATGGTTGAAACTGTTCTGATCTACTGTCCCATGACAACTGACCTGTCCATCAGGGTTGGATTGATCAATAATCAGGTGCAACATCAGACGGCACTTCCATCCTCATCACACAGACAGGTCAGAAAACAGGAAAACGAGAAAAACCTAAACTATCTGACAGAGTAATTCCCATGAATGGCATGGTGGCCTTTTGCCATAACTACCGCACTGGGAAAGAAAATCTGTTGTTGAAAAAAGCACAACTTATCATATTTCTCGACATTGGATTTTTTCAAACAATGGGTTTATTCTTAGTTGTGTATTTTTGTTTTGTTGATGAGGGCTTGACATCTAGCTAGAATATCATGCAATGCAAAATAAATTATCAAGCAACTAAATAAATTTTATGATGAGTCAGACTTTTCAGACAGCATCCCCTATCTTTCATGAGATTCAGTGACGAGACTTGTTGTTTACTAGTTTGTGGCCTACAAGACCAAGGAATGCCTTCTAATACTATGTGGCCCTATCACCATCACATGATTCTCCACCTATTCCCTCACCGTATCCTCATGGAGAAGGTGTTGATGTCCTTGTCCAGCTGGTCCAGCAGACTGATGGACTGGATGATCATGTTGTCTGCTCTGTGCACGTTGAACTTGACCTTGGCCCTGGAGTAGCTGTGACCCAAACCCAGCTGGGCCTTGGAGGCAGAGGTCTCTGTCAGACCCCTCACAAGCAGGTGGAAATGGAGCTTGATACCTGTGTGAAGAAGGGATCTTGTGTGAAATCTTACAGAAATCAGTACAAGGAAATCTTAGGATCACTCTACAAGTTTGACTCATAAACGTGTGATCCAGTCTACACATATCCTGTTTTTATAGTATAGGAAGTATGATATATGATGAGAGTTATACCTATACAAAAAGACATACAGATTTCACCACCAAAGAAATAAGAGCGTGTCCAAGACTCTTCCAAAAACACAAGGGAGTTGTTGAAAAGTAAGCCTAAACCTGTCCATCAGGGTTGGATTGATCAATAATCAGGTGCAACATCAGACGGCACTTCCATTCTCATCACACAGACAGGTCAGGCTATACAAGAAAGATTGTAAACATGATGCAAGCTTGAATTCTACAACATACCTCTGAGGACTTCCAGTACCACATCCCCACCAGTTAGTGGTATCCCAAGCTCCTCTTGTATTGCGGAGCCAATCTTGGGGTCAGCAATTCCTAAGGTGGCTTTCTTCTTCTTAAGAGGAAAGTTATTCTCCAGGAACACCTTCAGATCATCATGGAGAATTCCTGTATGAGGTACAGGGGAAAAGGGGTTCTTTTTCAGACATCATGACTTATGAATCAAAAATGACTAACCATACAATTTCATGCTTTAGCAGAATGACTTTTCAGTAACTTTACCAAATGCACTAAGTTTCTCCCACATCTAGATTGCCACAAAGAACCAATTCAAATGTGTTTTGTACAGCAGGTATGCTGTGGTATAAAAATCAGATGTGAATAGTTTTGCACCATTAAAACTAGACAAAGTTGTTCAACAGGATTTTAACAACCATGGTGTTTTGCTTTGCCTCAGATCCGTCTTGAAACTCTAGACATCACTGACTCGAGTCTCTGAGAGTAGGAGATCATCACTGGCACAGGGCCTAGGGCATCATACAGCATGCATGAACAGCAGGGTTAAGGTTCCGAACTGTTACTATTGTTAAGTCATGATTGTCTCCAGCATGCAACTTGAGTATTACTAAAATGACTGGGATATTCTTAGAACTTTGCCAATAATAATGAAACCAATGAGAAATCATTAGGGTTTTACAAATGCAAGTCAAGTGAAAGGTTCATTCTTTCTCATCATCTATTTCATCTGATTTCTTTTCTTACTAGTTTCTAAGGACGTGGTGAGCCTTGAATGAACATTCTTATTCTTATTTCCTACCTTCAGAAATAGCGTTACAGTTGTCAAGTGCATTTGTGCCAGACTTGAATGGTGAGAAGGCCACCAGCTTCACCGTTGAGTTGAACTTTTCGTACGACTTGACGCTCTTCTCCACGGTGGGTAGGAGCATCCCGATCTCCTCCGTCTCCTCCACGCGGAACAGGGCGTACCCCGAGGCATGCTCGAACAGAACGTGAAGACCAGCCTGCAGGGTATACATAGAAAAATATTGACTTAGAAGCCTAAAGGTTCTGGGTTCGAATCCATGGCCAGCCTCAATGTTGTACCCTTGGGCAAGTGTGTGGGTTGGAAAATTTCCTCACTTGAGTCAGATAAAAATGAGCACTGAGCTTCAGTTAGGGATGTGCTCGAGGATGGGACATAAAGTGGAGGTTCCGTGTTTGAAACATGAAAAAACATAGTTGAAAACACACAGACAAAACATAGTTAAAAACATTACTCAACCATTAAATGAAAAGATTTTCCTTCTGAAGTTTTTCTCAATTTTCCTGAGCCTAAACCTGTCCATCAGGGTTGGATTGATCAATAATCAGGTGCAACATCAGACGGCACTTCCATTCTCATCATACAGACAGGTCAGGCTACAGGAAAACTGGAACAGTCTGACAGGGTGATTCCCTTTAAAACAGCCTTTTAAAATTTAAGTAAACCACGTGTGCAGAAATCTTCTACACGTGGTTTGTTTGTTTGCTTATTTCGATCCCCATTACTTAGTGCTTAAAAGCACTATTCTTCATGGGGTCAATAAAATAAAACATAGATAACAATACTTTGTACATAATGTTGATTACAAAATAATAAAGTAAGTTCAAATCAATAGAGTAAGTTCAAATTCAAACGTTGAAAAACGAGCAAAAAATTATGTTCTAAAATCTCCTGTTGCAAAAAAAAAATGCTATTTTCGAATTGGATTGTTTTCTTCTTTGTCTGGCCTCTCTCTCTCTCTCCCTACATCATAATATATTTCTACACATATTTCCCTCCTGGCCTGAACTAGACTGTCTTGTGATTTACTCTCAATGAGTCTCATCTTAGTCCTTTATTCTTGAGATAACTCAGCTTGGGCTCCCTGGACTTCTGGACAAGATTGCACACTAGACTTACAGCTCAGGTGGTGATACACCGCGAGGATTTTTGTCCTTTATCGATTTTTCTCGTGAACTCTGAGGATAAACACCAGACGTTGCTTCGAGGAGAGAAATAATTTGCGGGCCCCCCTCCCACCCTGTTGGGAAAGCACATGGCATCAGCTAGAGCCCTGCACGCCTTTTGCACTTTCGACGTGGTTCTACACACAAATTCAAAACTTATGAAACTGAAATTAAGTGCATCTACGGGGAATGGTCTCCTTTTGAAATATACCACGTTCAATCGGCATTGGCGTTGAAAAATACGGGCGAAAATGACAATTTCTTAGCAAGTTTTAGCGACCACGCATGAACTACCCACCATCTTGGCTTGGTCCCGGTCTCGTTAGTTCTCGCGAGATCGGCGTACTTCTCACGTGACCACGGGATCACGTGGTGGATAATCGATCTCTGATGATCGCCGTCAGGGTAAGGCTTGCATGGAAAAAATGATGATTTGAGTGTTTTTCGGCGGTTTTACTTATTTTTTAGGGGTAAATATCGTATTTTATTTAAACAATAGCAGAGGAGATCTATCTGTAGATAGGGGCTCGTGCGGAACAGTCAGAGCTGGGGGAATCGCGTGGTGAAGCCGAGCTGGACCGTCTCTTCCTCGCCAGCCTCCAACCCACCTCAGCCTTCTACTGAAGCGGCGGCGGGGTCAGAGGTAAGGCCAACATCCCCTTGCACGGCTGGCCGACACGGTTTGGGACATTTTCCCGCTGTGCGGACAGTTCCCGGCCGGCGGTGAGCGGTGTGTGTTCGCGGGGACGTGCGGGCAGTGGAGGGTGGACGGAGGGGGAGCACAGGTTCACCTCGAGGTGCACATTACGTCATAGTTTTGGATTAGTGGCTCTGGCTTAGCCTGGGAAAGGGGAGGGATCACGCCCGCTTTCAGCCGACATGTAATTAACAACAACCAGCTCGTCGTACACAGAACGGCTCATTAAGTGGGATTAGAAGAGCGCGGGGATAAGCGCCCATGCGCACAACAACAACAGCGTTTTCAGAACTGCATAGCACCACACCAAATATGGTCAAACTTACGCTCATTTCCCATTCTAACCTACCATGCGTGGTCACATACGGAATTATCATGGAACTTCAGCAATCGTTTTTAAATAGGTTAAAATTTCAAGGTACCAAAATATCAGAAGTGAAGAAGAAAAAAACAGTTTGGTGAAACACTTACTCTATTTACCTAGCAATGTGTGTATGTGTATAATATCAGATAGATAAATCACAGAATTAAGTAAATATAATAGCAGGATTTGATTAAATATTTATCATGTATAACTGCAACAGTTGCTCTTTTTGGGCCCAAATGTGAAGTGTTGAATGGATATTTTCCTGCAGTGCTAGTCCAGGTAAAAGTTGAAATGTTATGTTACAGGATTTGTAACATGTATTATGTATGATGGAACTGCTACCTTACAAAATGGATGATAGATACACCATCTCTTCTTCTGATCTTGTCACACTCAATTGTGGTGAAGCAATTAAGCTTTTTCAAGTAGCAGGTAGTGCAATGCAGCTTCCCGCAATGGCTTGTGTTTTCTGCCAAGCAAACCAAGTCACCCCTACTCTTCTCAATAGGTGGGTTGGGTTCTTTTAGGTGCAATGGTTTAATGCTATAAGCTTCCTATTAGTATTATGCAAGAATATCTGCTTTATGTCCCCATCCAGGGCTCGTGACTGCGACTGATTTGGTCGCATATGCGCCCAAAATTTTGACGGTGCGACTACATTTGAAATCACGGTCGCACGGTGCGCCAATAAAAATTTTAGCCTATTCATTCCATTGTCGGCACAATCTTGTGAATTGACGATGAATTGTCGATCTCGCCATGACGCCGCAAAGAAAACGCTGTCATTGGTAGAAAATCTGACACCCCACTGGCGTTTCACAGCAAAATTTTCATGTGAACAACTCCGAATGTCTTTGTTTACATCGTGAAAGCTCACCGATACTCCCGCCGGCCGCCCGCACCCGACCGCATGGTCGCGGCATGACGCTAGTTTTCGGCAGCTCGGCGGAAAAATAATCCATCCCCAGAAGAAATGTTACGCATGAAAATAACAACTACAACTTGCTTTCCTTGTTATATCAGTTTTTGAGGCCGTAAAATGTTTAAAACCGTTGAAATTTGCTCGAAAAAACGGCTCGAAAATCTACGGCGAGACTGACAAAATCAGTCGAACCGCAGACCGCTATGCGCATCGGTTCTGCGCAGCTCTCTCTAAGATCTCGTTTAAATCTCGCGCTTCTTTTCCAAGGTAATGTGATCCGCGAGAATCCGCGAGAGTTTGCTACTGTTTACTGTTTCGCTTGTAACTCCGCTTTGCGTAAGTGTTTCCTTGTCATACGTTAATGTGAGATGTAAGAAGGGCCGGCGTCACGCTCAAGGTCGTAGATGTACATTACCGGTGGTGTTTGTTGGAGAAACGAGGTTTCAAAGTTGACCGTGTATGATGGAGATGATTCCACTCGAGATAGGTACCCTTTAGTTTTTTTGGGGGCAAACCCGTTTGCCCTATTTTATCGTCGATTTGGTGTATTGTTTAATAAAGTATAGACCCTCCCTCATCTATCATGTGTTGTTTCTTTTGGGATCCTGTAGTTGTTACAATATAGTAACCGATAGTAAGTTGGGCTCATTCAGTCGAATTCTCAACGATTTTTGTTCAAATCGCTAACCTTTTGCAACTAGTTCTAACTTCTAACCAATACACCTGTAATGTAAAATATGGCTGAAATATAGTTATGTTGGCTTGACACCTGTGTACTTAGTTTGGAAGTTGCACGATGTGTATTGCAGCTCGACCTTGAGAAAAAGTGTAATTTCTTTACAGTTTCTTTGCCTTTAAAAATGTTCTGTTAAAAGTTATATAAAACAAAAATGAAAGTGGAAGAATATCGACCAAATAGTAAGCTTGAAAACGATACCCACTTTACGGATGAAAACAGAAGAGAAGGAATTTGGGCATGAACAAATACAACAACAGGTTGATTTTTCATGGCCGAATTTTTGAAGGAGAAATCGGACACTATGACCTGTTACTGTAAATATACATACATCGGGCATATGTACTGACATTGGTATAGTTGCACATAAATACCACTTTCTCTAGCGTCTTCATGGTATAAGTCTGACTTGGAATGGGTTTAAGAAAGTCTGTTTGTGATGAAAAAACTTGATTCCTTCTTTTGATGAACTTTCGCAAACAGCGGTAGAAAGTTGCAACATTGTTGGCGGCGCGAAAAATAGAACGCGCTGCCTTGGTTCCATGGATCGAACGCAGGAGTTCGAAACCGATTGACTTCAAATTTGACGATTTTTGAATGGTCAGAACCTTGTATTAAATTCCTCTTTTTGTATATACTTGAATGTTATCATATCACTTATTATATTGCATGTGGCAGCCGCATTCATACAGTTTCTCATACCAAGAAACGAATTTTATGACATTACGCGAAATGTATCAAAATGTAGCGGAAACTCAGGATGGTGTGTGTCAGTAGCTAAAATTTGACCACCGCGATGTGCGCATCGTCACAGTTTTTTTGGGGGGCAAACCCGTTTGCCATAAAATTTACCAGGGGTCTTTGGCATCAATGTAAAGGCGAAGAAGTGGGCTATCACACTGTGGTATTAGCTAATGGGATCCAGTCGAACAGCAAAAAAGACAAGCAAAATAAAACTGACCAAACATTGCTAATGTTTGGAAGGCCGTAGCGACTCGCTGTCATTTTGCAATGCACGGAAATATCTACATGGTTGTACACGGCAAAGCCTGCAGATATGAAAAAGTATAAACATTATGTAGGTCTGAGGTATTTTTGTTACAATATAGGCAGTTGTTTACACCCATGCAACAGGGTCAAATCGTGACCCGGCAAAAGCCGTATCTTAGAGAATAACACGTTCTACGGTGACCTGCGGTTCGACTGAAATGGCCGACGGTGTTTCACGACAACAGTGGTCAAAGGTCAAGATAGCATCCAAATGTACAAGATACATGTACTAAGTACATATTACAAGGTGCTAAAACGAAACTTTAAACGCATGAAAACATTTTTTTCGGCTACAACTGAAATAAAAATTCACTTATATTTTTATAAGGTTAATTTCCAAACATTATTGAGAAATTTTCCGAATTTATTGGTTTCTTGTGTTAGTGCGGTTGGATGCTGTGATTGTGAAGTCCCTAATAGTAATAC